ATTATTATTATTATTATTATTATTATTATTATTATTATTATTATTATTGTTATTGTTATTGTTATTATTATTGTTATTATTATTGTTATTAATTATTATTATTGTTATAATTATTGTTATTATTATAAAGGCACATGTTTAGGCTAATTAGATTATCTGATTTAAATAATAAAGTTATTTTTAAAACTTATTAATTATTTATTAATTTAATCAATAATAATATACTACCTGTATTGAGCTATAATCAATATTTGTATTGCTAATTTTGTATATTTGAATAAGTCATTAGTTTAAATTTTAAAATTACCATAAACAATTTACTTACCACTATTTAACTATGTTAAAATTCTGTTTTTCCACATAGTTGAATTTTTAAGAATGTTTAATTATGGTACAGAATGTTACAGTATGTAAAATTAGGTACTACTGTATATGAGATGTAAAAATATAAAAAAAATATATAATAAATAATTAATTTTTTCTAAACAAACTAATTAAATTAACTTATGTAAAAATGTTTAGTTTTTTGCAGGGTGTCTTTGCTGTTTCTTTTTTTTCTAACATACATTACTACTGTATAATTAAATTAAGCCATGTTCTTTATCTAACTTGTGAGATTAATATCCCACTGAATACGAACCTTGGCATTCTAGTTTATAGATTTTGTTTTATAGATTATAAGCAGTTGTATCCTGTCTCATTATTTGAACTTGAAAATAACACCATGAAAGAGTCGAAACGTCGTTCTTCTTTTAGTGTTATTTTTCTTGTAAAAAGCATGTATAAAATGTTTAGTTTTTTGCAGGGTCATATGCTTTTGTCATATGTTATTTTTCTTTCATGTTTGATAATTGGTGCTGCCAAATCTTACAGGGACCTTGTCCTCAAATCTAATATACACTGGAAATTTCGGCTGAGTCCCTGGGGGCCCGTCGCAGCTTCAGTGCAGTGCCACCCGACTTAAACTACAACATGCAGTGGATACTAAATATGGTCCTTGCATAACTCTCCTGAAAGCATTATTCGAGGAGCTGAGCATTTTTATAAAAGACCCGAATTCAATACTTGGCTGCAGAGCCGGATCTCAAACCTGGGCCCTGGAATGCGAGAGGCAGAAACCATACTAATCAGCCATACGCTCAGCCCAGATATACTTGAGGAAATACTTTATTATTATCATTTAATGTAATTGAAATGAAATTGTGAAAAAGCGAAGTACGGCCTACTGAATAAGATCTGTGTAAAATAATAATTTTGGTTAATTATTAAGTCTACTGTAATTTTTATCGGTATAATTATTTATCTCAGTACAGTACTGTGATGTGCAGGTAATCATAACATGATTCAATACAATATATTGCTATGTACAGTATCTTTATTTCAACTGTATGGAAATCTATACATTCTTCATTTCACAAGGATTCTGCTGTACTGTACTAGAGAATGACAACATGTAACCCATGTTTTTCTATTTCAAAAATCCTCAAGGGGAATAATTCATTTCACTTGGGTACCATTTAAAACGATGAGCACATAATGCTTGTAATGATTTTTAGGCCTAAGAGATCCATTAGAATGTCGCTCTCTGTGACCATAGATATTTGATAGTTTTGATCACAGATTAAATGAGTAATTTTCCATGAGATTATTGAAAAACAATTCTGCACATGTTCAGAACATGTATGTCGCTGCATCTGTGAGCTTGTCGCTATAATAAACAGATGACATGCTAGCAGTATTGTAGATTAACTCTTTTTGAATGTTTCATCAACATAAAAATGTTATGTTTGGCTGATCGGAAACGAATAGCAAATTGGTGCATAAGTTGCTATGGCATTTTCAGTATCTTTCTCAACAGATTAAAATAAAACTAACCCTAATATATATGATGTTGTTCAGTATAATAATAGATACTTCAAAGCTTTTCACATTGAAACTAAACTTTTATAATAAAAGATAGTTGTGGTCTTGCATAGAAACCATATTACAGTATTACTATAATACAGTAGGCCTATACTCGATTATACTCTATATTATATAAGGATGATTATGATGTAGATTGTAAATAAACAGATTACAGTACATGTTGCAGTACTGTATTTTAGATTAACTATCTGAATGTTCCAACAACATGAAAATGTTATTCATACTGTATATTGGCTGTATAGATTGTAGGAACCCAATGGAGCAAGTTGGTACAAAAGTTGCTATTTTCAGTATCTTCCTTTTGTTTTCTTTACACAGCGCATAGAGACCATATATTTTGTGCAATATAAGTCCTCAACCATTTATATATATTGAATTATGTAATCGTATAGTATACATTTTATTTCATATCATACTATTAAAATTATATACTTAATTTTCAAAAATAAATGATTCTAAATTACTTTTTTCTATTTTGGTATATTTACTGTATTCAGTAAAATATCACATACAAAAACAGTCCGTTGCAGCATATTGAATGAATATAAAATTAAAATAAATATATGACTGATCAGCAATTATGAATTTACCAATCATTAAAAAAATAGTACATTATTTAATATAAAAAATTACATTATATATCGATTATTAGCCTGATTTCTGATATCTATTATTTTCCTTTGTTATTATAAGTAACATATAGAGCCTGATCAAGTGTTATTTAGACCCAAAATGTGCAAAGTTTGGAAATAGTCTACAGAAATTTCAAAACCTGCACTGCACAGTTCTATAATTTTTTGAACAATAAATAGTGTAAAATATATTACATTACAGTACCTTTTTTTACTAGTAGTGATGGTTTGTGTCAATTTGTATTTTCTTTGTCATATAGATATTGAGATGGTTACTCCACCATGTATATATGAGAATGTTGCTGTTAGCAAAACCTTCCAGATACTATACAAGAATGAAGAAGTGATGCTCAAAGATGTTGCTGTGTTTAAAGTATATTTATTAGTGGACAGTAACAAGGTAAATTGACCTACAAATTAGTCCACAATTGCACATGACAGTACCGGCTACAGATTTAATATCTGGGTCATTCTACAATATGCTAACTCTCAGGTTTTATAATGAATGTTCTATTGACAGATTCTACTGTACTTTCTGATTTCAGTTTTAGAAGCTTCTATGTCCCAAATTTCAAGAAACTAGGGGTTGTACCTACCAGGCCTGTCAGTATGGGAGGTGTGCGATGGGTAAACTGTATACATAACCTCTTCGTCCCCCCAAGTGCAAAAGTCCTACATTTTTAAGACAATTGAATCTTGCATAAGAAAGTATAATACATACTCCAAGTATTGAAATACACGCCATCGTGTTGGGATTCAATATTTCGACATTAATTATGTCATCATCAGGAATGATTCCTGATGATGACATAATTAATGTAGAAATATTGAATCCCAACACGATGGCGTGTATTTCAATACTTGGAGTATGTATTATACTTTCTTATCTGAGATTAATCAGTGGAACTTTCGGTGAATCTTGCATCTTTACATTTTTAACCAGTTTCTGATGACAATTAGTATAGTATTATGCAAGCTGTACCCAGTATGATAATGATTGTACTATAATGAAATGGACTATTGAATTTTAGCTTCAGGTTTTACACACATTAGGAGTATAATAAGATAAGTAAAGGTTACACGAATGATCTTGTTATTGATATTTTGATGTAATGTATTCTATTCAAATATTTTTCAATATATGAACGTTAACATTTTATGTGCTTGGCTATAAAATTTGAACTGTACATATGGACTATGCACTAATAATAGAATTAGTTTATAACTGTAGATTACAGTATGATGAGTAAAGATTATGTGGGATTTATTTTATATTGAAATTTAAATATCAAATTAAAATTTAAATCTATTAAATTGATCAAGTATTATGGCATCATGGTCGTTGACATGTGGCAGCATCATCAACATAATCGGAGTATATTCACCATCATCCACATCATCCTACTCTAGGTATAATAAGAAGGTGTTTGAAAGGTGCTATATATTCCTATATTATTATACAGTATATTCATGGTGCTTCCAACACTTATAACTGTGAAGAGAACATAAAAGTGATAACAGCCTCTTCATTATGAGGATCATTTCGGTCAAGGATTGGTGTTCCAGGAGGCCATATCTTTCAACGATTATGAAGATGGAGATTCCTATATTATGTCTTTTACTATATTCTAACCTTGCCAGATCACTATCTGTAAATATTTGCTCTTGTGCAATAATTACCCTGGCTTCTGGACCCCATTGGAAATAAGTCTGGTGTACAATCACTAGACTTAATGGGTCATCCAGGCATTCAATTAATTATTCATCTCCTTTATTTTATGTTCGTTCTCAAAATTTTATTGTTATGTGTGTGATATTGAATGCGAAATAAATCAAATCAAAAATCAAAAATGATACAAAAAATAACAAAAGAATTATAAGCAATAAAAATATAACCATTTTTTATTAGGAAAAATACTTCCAAAAACATTATAAAAACTACTTGCTAAACTAGGAAACTTTTATAGGTTTACAGTTTTTATGTTTGGCAAAAACAAAAAGATTTTTTTTTGTAATAGACATTGAGAGAATGCCTTGTCTACTGCAGTATCTGACATCAATTTCAATCAACAATTTCAGCATCATCAACATTGTCATCTTTATCATCATATTTTTTTATTTTCATTTCCACCTTCATCAACATCATCATAATCATTGTCATAATTATCATCATCATCATCATCATCATTCGCATTTTCATCTCCATCTTCATCATAATTGTAATCATCTTCATAGTTATCATCTTCATCAGCATCATCATAGTCATCATTGACATTGTTATTTTCATCATAATCATAAAATTTGTCATTGCCATCAAAATCATCGTCATCTTTATCATCATCATCTTCAGCAGCACCATCATCATAGTCATTGTCGTTATTGTTACTTTCATCATAAAATTTGTCATTGCCATCATCATCGTCATCATCATCGTCATCACCATTCAAACAACTCTTACATTTCATTCTAGGCGAGACTTTCTTTATACCTTGTTTAGCGAACCCACCGAATGCAAATATTGATGATTATTTTTTTTTGGCCAATTAGCGCACCCGCCGCCACAAAAAATGGAAATTTCAGAAAAAATTATTATATTTTTATTTTCTCCTCTGGATGTTTTTGGCAAAACTATTTGCTAAATAAGAAAAAATTTTATTTTAATTTTTATTTTTATTCCGCCCTCCTCCGATAATCTTTAAAAAGTTAGTACGCGAAACAAGTACAGTGATTACCGGTACTTTTAAATGTTACATACAATCAACACCAAAAATTTACAAGTTCCCAACAAACCTACAGGTACTGTAATATGTAAATGTTTTTCTTTTCATAGATTGAGGAGAGTATAAATTCCACCGATATCCAACTTGTTTTGGAACTTTATTTTAGCTGCTCGGATGAAGTGTAAGTTAATTGATATATTATCTATTCAACTGAAAGAAACAGCTAAATATTAAAAATGACAACACTGTAAAAGGCAAAGTTGGTGTACACTATTCTGTGAGATTTATTTTAATTTTATATTGATTGCAGGCCTACGAGCCCGGACAGCTTAGAACTATCAAGCACACGCACGTTGAGGTTGCACATGGATGCTGCACGCGGAGTTCACGCGCACGCATCAGTTTTATTTGATTACTTCCATCTGTCTGCTGCTTCCCTTACCGTTCACGCGGCTCTTTTAGGAGTCAACCAAGCCATGTTCAGGTATTACGCTATTTATAGCTTTTATTTAGCATCATTGCTCCTGCCATTATCTCTAAATTATATAAAATAGTACGGTATAGTGTCATTATTTATTCACAAAATATTGTTAGTAGATTATTAACTCCGCCAAAGGAGGTTGTATTCACTGCTGCCTGCCTGTCTGTCTGTCTGTTAGCAAAGATTACACAAAAATTAATGAATGGATCTTTATGAAATTTAGGGGTCATTGAACATTATCAACATTTTCACAAGTGTACAAACTGTATGCTAGAGGGGAGGGGTAGACACAATTGTACACTTTTACATGCATGGAAGTGTTGATTCAAAATAACATGCAATATGTAAAATAATGGTAAAATTATAATGTAACCATGGATACAATATTCATTTTTAAGCAAACAAGTACATTGCTTTAGTTGACTTCACAAAAATATGGAGAATGTTTTTTCAAAATCAACATTTTTTTGTGCATTTTCAGAGGGGAAGGAGGGGTACCGAAAATGAGTACTATTTGTATACTTGTGAAAATGTTGATAATTGTGAACTTCACAAAAATATGGAGAATGGTTTTTCAAAATTAACATTTTTTTGTGCGTTTTCAGAGGGGAGGGAGGGGTACCGAAAAAGAGTACTATTTGTACACTTGTGAAAATGTTGGTAATTGTGAACGACCCCTTAGTGGAATGTTCAAAGCACAAGATGATAAAATTTAAAGGTCAAAAGACAAGGAGACAATCCCCTACTCTTTTCCGAAGAGTGTACTGTGTTCTTTAACGTGCACATGGGCCATAAATGCACACGGGACCAACGGCTTAAACATCTCATCGGAAAGACGGTGCGCTATGTAGCTCGTATTTCAGCCCTCTAGCTGAAACACAAGGAGAGGCAGCGATGGGAATTGAACCGGGGACCTAGAGATCTCCACGGTTCAGCGCACACACAGTGGCTACCACCAGATTAGCCGACTGAGTTAAGCTGCTCTCTCAAACTGTATTTTCTTTAAAGTTTATAATTTTTATTTCTAGTATTCCAAAACCAGTCAAGTCTGGTTTCTTTGGTAAGTTTTCCAGTTCTGCGACATCACCAACCAGGCAAGTATCAATTCCAAGTCTGGAAACAGTGTTGTTTGGCCCACGAAACAAGTTGCCAGAAGAAGTGGTAAGAATTGCATAAAAACAGTTTATCCTTAATCAATTTGTACTGTAATTTTAGCAACAGAATTTTTTTAATTGCCAAATAACGTACTATCTCTGAAATATAGAAAAAAAAATATACAGTATAATATAAAAATAGTATACTTACTATAAAAATTCAATCAAAACATAAGCATTTTAGTGTTGTTTATGTAACTGTACTTACCGCATTAGTGCAATCATAGCCAACAGAAAGGCAGTATACTGTAGTTAATTATGCATCGATAGAGATTAATCATCATTATATTTCACAAAAGAAAATACAGAAAGCTACATGAATGAAATAAATTTAAATACAGATAGTTTATCTTTAATGGAGGGCAAATGAATGCATCACACTGGGTTGGGTAAAGCCGCAATCGCACTGGATTTAAAATAGGGA